AAGAAATATTACCTCTGAAAAGCAGAAAGCTACCCAAACTGGAAAAAAAAAAAACTAATGAGAACTTTCAGTGAAAAAAGCTGAGAGAATGATTTTTCACATTTTGTAGCTTCTAACTCCTTTATTCCCTTCTCCTGGAGCGACCCCTAATGGGATGTGACACGGGCACCACTGACCTGTGTATCTCCAGCCCTGCCACTGGGGTCCAGGTGCCTGAGAGGGGCAGGCAGACACTGACAGGCCTGTCAGCTGTGTCCTACTGGTCCCAGTGGTAGGTGGTCTGCAAAGGAAGCAGAGGGAGAAAGCAAGCCAGAATGGAGAATGATAAACATAGAGTATCTTAGAAGTACACAGGCATGTTCACTGAAGAGGAGGGAATAATACCAAAAGAGACAGGAGGGAGTCCATGTGCAGTCAACAGAGGAAGACAGTGACTACTGTGCCAGACACAGTGGAGGGAGACGCTTTGAAGGCCTCCTCTATTAGCTGGGCCCTGATGGGGTCAGGGGTGTTCAACAGAAACAGCCAGAACTGTCTGTCCTGCAGACTGATTTATAGGAGCTACAGAAATAAAGGAATTAACACGAATTGACCGTTTTATCTTATGTGCACATGTGTGTACGTACACCATGAGCCCCACACCTGAACATCAGGGCCATCCTGCCACAGTGCCTGGATGAAAATTCCTCTTTATAGCTTCTGATGTGTGAGACTTGAGCGCAGACTTGAGTTACTGGGTACCACACATTCAGCCACAGTGTAGTTTTATGAGGCAGAGCACACAGATTTACCAGCTCATCTGAGGAGAACTTCTAGTCTTTCTCTGGTCCTGGCTGTGTTATTTCCCCTGCTAAACTCATGCCAATGTAATTGCTCATCAGGTATGCTCTGAGTCACTTCAAGTTGTTAAAGTTGCAGAAAAAAACAGCACCACACAAGAAGAGAGTTGAATCGTTTCCTGCTATTTTAATTTATTTAAACAGCTCTTGGAAGGGCCTAAGGTGAAGCTGGAGGAGGTAGGGGAGAAAAGTAGTGACTGCCCAGTCAAGGGTAGGAGCTGTTAAAGTCAGCTGCCTGTGGGTCTGTACCCTTACCAGCCTGCCTGGCTGCTTTGCTGCATGTTTGAGCCCACCATTTGACAGAAGATAAAACCATTGTTCTGCAGGTTGATATGATGGCAATAGCCCAGCAGGGAAAAGAAAAGGACAGAAAAAGCAAACAGTAGATTAATAGTATAAATTAGAAGGCTGCTGTTTGTTATAGCAGTAAGCCTACTCACAGCAAAACATGACCAGATTCAAGCAAAATTAACAAGTATGATACATTGAAGTTACTATTCACTGCAGGTTTAGATTTTATGGAATGAATGAAACAATTCTTTGGAAAGTTCTGGCAAAATCCACTGTCCTCTAGATTGCAGCCATTTTCCTCACCTTCAGTGCTGAAAAGAAGCGCAGGAAAGAAACATAGGAAAGGAAATAGTAATCCAGGAGCCCTGACTTGAGTTTTGTAGCTTGCTCAGTAAGGAGAGGGTTAATTCCTGAAGCCAGCTGTTCACTGTGCTGATTTTAATACAAACGAGTAACATTTTAGATGGATCTAAAGATTTTGAATTTGAGAAAGGAAAAAAAATAACCAATGGAATTTGGAGATGTGCAGACCTCCTGTCATTTTACACTCAAATCTTGCAATGCATTTGTTGTTGTGTGGGATTAGAGAATAATTGTAGAGATAAGTAACTTCCCCAGAAGGAAGACCTTTTGGCAGTCTAATTGCTGCAGGTATAATTCTAAGATGACATGGTTAACAGGCCTTTGAAAGCAGAAATGGCAGCACTGACTCAGAAGCATGGCTTGTAACTCAATCCTTTCTGCCAGCAGTACACTGCTTGACATAGGTCACTGCTAGGATGTATGTTACAATGCTTTGGCAGAGCTAAGGTTCAAAACTTAACTGTCCTTTTATTCCTTATTTCTCAAATCTGTCTATCCTGTTTATACTAGTATAGTAGGATTTGGTATCAGCTTGTAACTGTCACAGAACAAGGTTGCACAAGGCTTTTGGGATCTGACCATAATATTTCCATCAAAGCCCTGATGATTGTACAAGGCGTTAGGGATTTCCACTAATTGTCTGATACTTTCACAAAAACTGCTGGCTGTCATTGCAGACCTGTAATTCATTCTACATACTGCTTATCATTTTAGAATTTTCTTTAATACAGGAGTCTTTGTTATTGCACTTTAAAAAAAAAAAAAGTAAACCCATGTGATAAAAATAACGGGTGGAGTAGCTGCTAATGAACCTCCCTCTGTTGTTTAGTTACTCTAATCAATTGTACAGCAGACATGTGTGACAAGTGTACAGGTGCATACAAAACCTGTCCAACCTGAATGCCCTGTGTAAGGAAATTTTTCAGGCATGCCATTAAAGCATCTAATGCTGCAGTTAAAAATACAGTAGACCTACATTGATCATATTTGTCATCCCATTAGCAGTCAGCTCAGTGAAGTTAGGGGGTTGCATACAGAATGTGTGTGAACATGCAGAAAGATTTGGAGCAGTGTCATTGAGGATTGGGGTCAGTTATAAATGAGGGGAGGTTAGCAACAGGTGATGACTACTTTGACAACAGAAAATTGCCATTTCTAAAGCTCAGCAAGGTGATGTACAGGAAATGTTGATGCTCAGTAGGTCAGAGGGCCTCAGTAGTCATAGACTAAGAGGAAATTCTGAAGTCAGCAGTAGAAGAAAGCTGACTGGTCATGAATTCCCAACTACCAAGTTCCCAAACATACTTAAAATTTATGTTTCCCTTAATCAAATGGTTTTTCCTCCCTGTAGACTTGTAAGAACTGCTTCCTGATGGAGCATCTATGAAATCAAGTAGTCAGCCTTTAAAAAGGGAAGTGCCCTTCTGCATCCAACACCATCCAAGGGTCCTGAGTATCTAAGCTGACTCCCTGTATTTGGAAGGTACAATGTACAAATCAACTGAGCAGACAAAAAAAAATCTGATTGAGTTCCAATTAATGTCCTGTATACACATTACTCTTTCAAAATACTATGAACAGTCCTAGTAAAGCAATGACTCTGTATCTACTACAAAATATTGAATCTTTTGGCTGCATTGTTTGCAATCGGTACAAAGAGTTCCAAATCTTCACTCATGGACCAAGATTCAAATTTCGCTCTTCATTTAGCTCCACAGATATTTTCCTTTGAATTATTTGAAGCTCCTGAACAGATTTAGTGACTAGCACAGTTATTGCCCTGATTCACAGAAATTGTTGTGCAGAAGGGTCAAAGAAGAGGCACATTGTCATGCAGAAATTAGCATCACCTCTGAAGAACACATACATACAACTGCACACTTAGTTCCTCTTGAAAAAGAGCATTTTTTTCTGCTCTGCCTTCTCTACCTAAATCTTTTTAGGAGGTGAAATCTGTGTATGTATACACTTGTATATACATACACAAGCAGACTGAAACATGCTGAGTTTCAGTTACTCTATTCCTAGGTATTACCACCATTATCATTGCTCCCCTTCGTGCTTCTGGGATGGTTTTCAAGGCCATGATGTGAATGGGCTCAGTACTGATCTACGGCTGCGTTAGCAGAAGTAAGGGGACCAGCCTGGATACACAGGGAAGCAGGAGATCCTGAAGTGGCCAGAGGCCCTTGTCAAACAGCCACAAGTACTTTCTTGTGCCGAGCAAGCGGCAGCAGGAAAGGGCTCATTACCTCAGCACTCTGTGGATGGAGTAAGAAGGGGCAGAGTGGGAATATCCGATAATCCTTCATGGTGGCTGTCACTGGTTTTCTTTGGTTGGAAGCATCTGGCAACACAAGAGAGAAATTTGTTTAATTCCCTTGCGTTGCTGCTCTGCTTCAGCCCTTTCTTTTCAAGCCCATACAGCCTTGACAGCAACTGAGCCATTGCTCATGAGGAAAATGCCATGTGGATCAATGTTAGCAGCATAAAATGAAAGTCTGTATGCAAACTACAGATCCTGCCCCACTTTAAAGACAAATATAGGACCACTGTGTCGAGCATCTTACATTCTTGGCTGTCAGACAGCAACAGAATAATAAGATTCACAATTCTGTAACTAACTTCAGTACTTTGGAGCGACAAGCCTGACATGATAGGGGTTTTCATTTCCCCAGTAGGCAGCTCTAACTATGCTACACTTCAACATCCGTCATGTTTACTAATCTTAGTCTGACCTCTAGTGAGCTGTCACAGAATAATCAGATAAGGCTTTCTTCTAAATGTGCAGGTGTGGAAGAGAACACACGACCTAGTATCAAATTCACTGACCTCCACACATAAGGTGGGTTTTGCCTCTTTCGCCTTCTTTTTTTCCTTTTTTTTTTTTGTGTGATCAGAAACTGCTTCGTCAGATTTATGAAGAGATTTTTGCCTCTGAAGGAGATGAAATGCAAGTTATATCTGGTTAGATAATACATTTAAATTAACAGACACTTAGACAAAAAGAGGGCGTAAGCTAAAGCAGTAAACATTTTAAAGGACCTAAATAACTTGCACAATTTTTCAAGCCATTAGAAGCTTCTGGGGTTTTGTCAGCTTTAACCTCAGCATTTTGTTCATACTGGGTATTTCTTGCTCAGTGTGTTTATGCCAAGTAGTTACAGGACAAAATACAAACACTGTGCACTTGCCTTGGCAATAACGCAAGCACAGTAAAAATTTTATTTTTTTTTTTCCCGGATGAAGATCCATCTATCAGGCACACTGACAAATTAAAAAAAGTAATTTGCCCAACCTCTGGAATATCCACAAGAGTTCAGGCTTCTTTGTTGTTTGTTTTGGTTTGGTTTTTTTTCTAAAAGGAGTGCTCTTCTGTAGCTGTAGCTAAGAGGACTCTCTCAGTACTAGCGCTCTCTGTCCATGGTTTTGGTGTGCTTCTGTCACCCACAGTCTGTGCAGAAGATGTGGCTTTGACACCTATTCCCTTCTTTCTGCTCCTTACAGGCATTTTGAAGTTTGTGGAAATCACGGTTAACCTCCTGGTGTTGATTTGTGTGGGAGCTTCCCAAGCCTCTGTTGCAGGCTTCACATCCCTTGGAGGCTTTGGATCCTTTAGCCTGAATTCAGCCTATAGCCCCTTTGAGGGCACAGAGCTCCGCGAGGTGAGGGAGCTGGACATGCAGATCACCCAGATGAGAGCCCCTTGCGTGTATGGCGGCGTAGCCTTCAGCTTAACAGCAGCAGTACTTACCCTTGTCTTCCTCATCATGGGGGCAAAGCCCATCCAGCAGCTCAGGACAGGGCTGCTGGTAGGCGAGTGTGCCTTCAACCTGCTGGCTGGTGCAGCATACGTTGTGGCAGTGGGCCTCTACCTGCATTTTGTCAGCCAGGTGAACTCCACAGAGGTTTGCAAGAGGCGTGAGAGGCTGTACACGCGCCGCGGCTACACCTCCATGAACTGCGTGGTCCAGGGCGGCGACGCGGCCGTGGGCCTTTTTGGTGCCGTTGCTTCCTGCTTGTACTTTGCCAGCTTTGTGGTCTGCATCCGTGCTGTCCGAACTGTCAGAGCCTTCCAGAGCCACGTGGCCAAGGCTCAGCACAGCCCCAAAGTCAGTGTTAAGGACAGAAGCATCAGAAACCACCATGCTGTTCACAGGACCTCTGAAAGCTCCCACAACATCCAGGCTCTCGCCACGTTAGTGTGAAGTCGACTCTGGGACTGTGCCAGAGCTGGGGCTTCAGCCAGGGAGGGACACTGGGTGTCACATGGCAAACAGGAGACCAGCTCACAATCTCCCTACAGGGTGCTGAAGCATGTATAGAATCACCAAATGTAACTATACAGCTATAACATGATGTAATAAAATTGACATTGAGTGACTTGTTTTCACAAGGTTTTTCTGCACTAGTCTCTCAAGCTGGACTCTTGTAGGTAAAATGTGTTTGTGACTGTAATGTTTTTATCCTGCACAGAGCAAATCCAAACAGGTTACAGGTTTAACAGGTTACAACTGCATTGATGCCAAACTTGTGCTAACAACCACTTCCTTTCCTCTCCCATGGCATAAGGAATTGAATACACAGTTAGGATGGGCAGCCTTCAACAGATCCTGTGCCTGTTGTGCATCCTGTTGACTTATGCTACAGTGCTCACAAAGCAAAGGACACTTGAGTGCTTTTCTGAATCGTGTCTGAGGTTACATTTGTGATCTGTTTTGCTTGGGCTAGTGAAGCGTTTTATCTTTTGAGTCACAGGGGTTGACACATGCCGATCATGTGCTCCCTGAGGAATGCTGCCGGGAGGAACTAGCTGCAATGTCAAAGGCAGCATTTTGGTCCTTATCCAGTTTCCTACTGTATTTTCCCATCTCACTGAGCGCAGATCAGAACCCGAGAGACAACACACTGGTTGAGTATCAGCTTAGTAAAGATACCATTTGCTTCTGTAAGCCCCTAAACAAGGTTTGGCTTGCTGACTCCACAGCCGGTGGTGGGTAGAGCCCAAGTCGGGAACATGCTGGCTGCCGTGGGAACGCTGTAACAGTGACAGAAAGTACCTGTATCCTTCCAATATCCAAACAGGCAAAGCATGAGTGAACAGCAGTAATTGTATGCCCCAGGGATGAGAAAATAAATTTAAGAGAACATCTTTCAAGAATCCTTTGTTTGAGGCAGATGAAATAGATCACTGGTCTTCATAGATAAGGGAGTGAGAAAAAGAAGGCTGCTCTTTAAGTGTGTAAGGTTTGTCAGCTTGAGGGGGGGGAAGAGACAATTTTGATTCTGGCTGTTCTCACTCTTTTCAGTTTTGTCTGGCTCACAGCCATTGCCCAGATGAGGTTCTTTTGAACCATAGTAGAGCTTATTTATTGTATACTTCATATATACATATACATACACACACAGAGAGATCTCAAAGGGTTATGTTTGAGGTAATGTAAGCCAAGCAAGAAAATGTTATGGTTCTGATGAGAAGTGATTACATGAGCCTTTACAATAAGTATAATTTATATAATACCTTAAACATACATTTAACACTGTGAACACCAACCAGCTCTAGAGCATTATTATGCTTATGAAGAGATAGGAGTAAAGAGTTTTTCCAAACTTTCTGTGACTCACAGTTATGATAAAATCAAGAAATTAAGACTGATTTCTAGACTGGTATGCTGTAATTGGCTGGGAAGTCTGTTACAGGGATGTCTGGCATGCTCTGACATGTCCTTCTGATGTTGCAGACCCCAGAGCTGGATACAGTACCCAGGTGGGGGTCTCACCAGAATGGAGCAGAAGGAAAGAATCACCTCCCTTGATCTGCTGGCCACACAGGATGCAATTGGCTTTCTGGGCTGTAAGGGCCCATTGCCAGTTCAAATCCAGTTTTTTGTGCACCAGTACCACCATATCCTTATCTACAAGGCTGCTCTCGATCCCCTCATCACGTGGTCTACTGATACTGGTGACTGCCTGAGCCCATACACTTGGCCTTGTTCCAACCCTCTGAGGTTCACACTGGCCATCTCCTTAGGCCTTGAGACCCTGACAGGTAACTGGGGATGACATCCCTTCCCTCAAGCAACTGCAGCAGTAAGCTTGATATCATGCACAAACTTGCTGAGGTCCTGAAATGCTGCAAGAAGAGGGACCACAAAGAAAGCCACTACCCGGTGATTGTTGTCTTCTTGAGAGCTTTGTGCCTTGAATTTGTTTCTTCCCTGACACCATGAAGAAAGATCATTAGGAAATAATTGTGAGGAAGAAATAAACATCAGTGCTCTTTCCTCCACTCACCTTCACAGGGAGAAGTATAGGAGAAGAGAGGGGAAAATCCCAAAAATACTTCTCAAAAGGCAGGAAAAAAGAAGCTTTCCTACGTCTTGGGGTGAAGGACAAGCCAAATACCATCAGAATAATCCAAAACACTCTTCTTCCCAACTGTAACAAGGCCATGCTTGGTATCCTGTTACCAACTTGAAAATCTTTACTGTGGGAGCTGGGAAGGCGTAATACAAGAGCAGAGATTTTCTGGCACACTCATATGACTAAGGCTGTCGTCCCCAGCTGCCCTTGCAGGTGATCCTGCCCTCCAGAGCAAACCAGGCTTCCAACCTCCTGCTGCAGCTGGCTGTACCCCATCACCACCTCTGAGCAGCAACTGCCAGTTAGTATGGGACAATAATCCACATTTGGACCAGTAAACAAAGGTAGGGGAGATGGTTCCTGTCAGCCCTACGATTTCCCTGCTGCTTGCCCCATGCACACAGGTGTGCATTGCCTGCATGCAACCTTCAGGGTTAGCACTGAAAACAAACTCACCTGTTTCTTTGAAGCAGCCCCTCACAGCCCAGTTTCACCTGCAAACAAAGGACTGCACGTAGTCATTGCCCTCAGTCCCTCTTTGGTAAGGGGGATCCTCGGGGTGTATTCAGCTTGTCCACTGTGACCACTGACAGCTTATCACCTGCTGTGAGGGAAACACAGTGAAACAACCTCTGAGAGGTTGCCCTGTCGGTAGACAGCATGGCATCTCTCAACCTCAAAGCGTTGGGTACAGAAAGAAGCCTTCTGGCACATCAAGCCTATTCTGAACCTTCAAAAAGAGGAATAAAATGTCCAGCGTTCCTGGAGATGCTAAGAAATGGATACAGGTTGCAGGGTGAACTGGAGCTGCCTGGCAGGAGAAAAGCCCCACTGCAGATGATGGGTCACTGGTGCAAGGTGCTGCGCTGAGTTGAGTAGCTCATTTATCTCAGTTACCTTTGAGACTCTCAGACAGCCCCTTTGGATTTGAACCATCAATTTGCACCAGTCTGCTTCAACGCAGGAGCAAACAGCTTTAGTCAGTCAGAAAAAAAAGCATCCAGCTGAGCCCCCGATCCATTAGCTATCCACAGAGGGACCCCCTCCCTGCAGAAGAGCCTTGGAGAAAAACAGTTTCTCTCTGAAAAAAATGTGTCTCCATGCCCTAACCCTGAGGAGGAAAGAAAGGGAGAAGAATCCAGCCTCCTGATGGTACCATGAAAATTTCATCATGCTGGGCTGTGTACCTTTGAGCACCCATTTTCCTGGATGTCTCTTTTATTCAAATAATGTTTCATAAAATAGTTCAGTCTGGGGGAAATCTTGTCCAAAACAGAGCAAATCAGCATCCAAAGACACAGGGGTCTTATTCCAATGTGAAAGGCAAAACTGGGGGGGGCGAGGCCAGAGAGAAAATAAGATATTTACTGCTCCAAATAAGCTTAACATAACCTTTATATTTCCCAAATAATTCATGTATCTGAAACTGTAAATCTGGTGCTGCTGTAAGATCTGCCTGTATTAGGGTATTGCTGTCCTGCTACAGAGCAGCTGTAAGGAGGAAGGACCTCTGTAATCATCCGCAGAAAGGAAATTTTCAGGTAAGCACAAACAAGGAGCATTCCTATTTTCTTAGTGAGTTTAACAAAACATTCCTAGACCATATTACATTTTATCAGAATTTAAGCTTTTTCCACTGGTTCTTCAGAAGTATTTGAGTATATCCAACGTGCAGAAACAACTAGGGACACGAACAAGTTGTGCAACAGCAGAAACTGAATTCAAGGCTTAGTGTTATGAAAAGCTGGGATCTCAGTTTACATGGGAAACTGCTTTAAATTGATGAGAATACATACAGGGATTAGAGTACTAAAGAACACTCTGAATGGAAATTTTCTTCCATAATCCGTGTATTTTACTCCCAGTGCAGACTTACCTTCATTAAAGTTATTCTTGTGGTAGTTTTCCACCACAACTTACATTTACCATAGTTAAGTAAAGCTATAGATACACAGCAGACCTTCAGTAACTCTGGTTTCTCAATCACATTTGCAGAACTTGGATGTCTCCTTTTCTTTTTCAAGACTCAGGTAAGTTATTGAAGGGGACGAGGACCGCATAATTTATGACAGCTGTGACATTCACTTATGACAGCTGTGACATTCACCGTTACTCATCTCTTTCAAGACATCCACGAGAAGGTGGCGCGCTCAGTGTATTGTAGCAGCTTAATGCCAGCACAGCATAAAAACTGCCACAGATGCTCACCATCACCCATTATAAATAAAACATGAGACTCCTTGCAAGGTCCGTGAGTTGTCAGTGCATTTGATGTAATAGGTTTTGGCGTGTGACAGTGCAAAACGGGCAAGTCACAGGATGCCCTTCATTGCTACAAATGGTCTATTGATTTCCAGTGATGCCTTTTGCACACAGACCTGCACCTGCTGCTGGACTCCCAAAAACTCTCAGGCCGTGTTGAAGGGCTCAAGAAAGGAAATGCCTGTCTGTGTTTTACAGGTAATTAGTTTTTCAGAAGGATGTAGAAAGGCTCGTGAGACAGATGCACACCGGTAAGGACCACATGTTTTAAACAGGCTTTAGAAAAGTCAGATGTGGTTTGGATATATTACTTTTGATACTATAAGAGAAACTGTATAGTGGAGGTGTTTAGGTATTTACAGGTATGTGAATGTCTTGGTTTTTTGCTATCCTGTGCTGACTTCCAAGATAAATACGAATAATGAAAGTGCAGGAGGAAAACATGAGGCTTGAACTTGCCCAGCTGTATAGTGAAAATTGGAATTTCATCAGCTGTGAAGACACTATGTGCATTGCATATACATTACTCATAAGCTTCCCACTGTACCCAGATTTACAGATTTAAGCATAGCTTTGTACTATCATTCACACACCCACAGCACAGCAGCCCATATCTGCAAGTGTGAAGGGTGTGCCACAGTGACTTCCACATACTCAGTATTTTAAGGCAGGATTCTTGGCACAGAACGATGGAAACCATGGGACACTGAAAGAGCTGGTGACAGAATTAATGAGTTTAAGACTAAGTGGAGATTAGCTAGCATTCCTAATCACCCTGTGGGAGGAGGTAGGGGGACAAACAGTAAAAAGCATGTTTCCCTTGCTTCTGATTGCAAAACTAATTTCCCAACAAGATGGCCCTGTCACAGGATCATTAAGGTTGGAAAAGACCTCTAAGATCATCGAGTCCAGCCATTAACCCAGCACCACTGTGTTCACCACTAAACCATGTTCTCAAGTGCCACAGCCAAATGTCTTTTGAACACTTCAGGGATGGTGACTCCATCACTTCCCTAGGCAGCCTGTTCCAAGGCCTGAACATCCTTGCAGTGAAGAAATTTTTCCTCATATCCAATCTAAACCTCCCTTGGTGCAACTTGAGGCCATTACCTCTCATCTTGTTACTTGGGAGGAGAGACTGATCCCCACTTTGCTACAGCCTCCTTTTAGGTAGTTGTAGAGAGTGATAAGGTCCCCCCTGACCCTCCTTTTCTCCAGGCTAAACAACTGCAGCTCCCTCAGCCGCTCCTCATAGGACTTGTGCTCC